TCTGCTCTGGATCCTCCCCATCCCCTTCCCCATCTTTCGGCTTCGTCTTAGGCCGCGTAGCCACCGCAGCATCCCCATTGGACGCCGGACCAGGCCCACCATCATCAAGCACAGCTCGAATCTCCTCAGCCCGCCGAAGATACTCGGTGAATTTTTGGGTGATCGCTTCTTTGATCTTGGGATTTTTCTCGTACTTCAAATGGGTCTTGAAGTACTCCAAAGCATTCATATACAAAGGAAACGCTTTTGCATAATTACCAGCGTTATCTTCCTGCACAGCTTGTTTCACGTACTCTATTGCTTGCTCCTTAAAGTTGCTATACATCTTCTGCTTCCGACAAAAAGCATAGACGAATTAAAACCGAAGGAATAAAAAGTTAACCGGCGAACCAGAACCCTAGGACTCCAATCAAATCGTCCCGGAGAATAGATGGGGAGAAATTCTGATCGATATCAGAAACATGAAAAAATTAATGGTTCTATTGGGATTACTGAGAAGGATCGGGAGGAGGGGGGGGGGGGGAAGCAAGGATGAAGGAGAAGTTGTGAGTCAAAAGGACGCGTTTCGTTGGGCAGGGCGACACCGCAAGATTGTGTGCGTGGGAACCTTACGAATACCCAATTACCGAGTGAGGAATTTTCCTACTGCCGTTTGCGTAATGCGTTGCGTTCGGGGGTGGCGGAAGTTCATTTTATTTGTTTGTTTCCAAATTGCAACAGCTTACATATTTTATTTATTATTTATACTTATAATTTATAATTTATTAGGAGATGCCGTTGAAATATGATTATGAGTATAGCGAAATCAGCTAATTAAAAGATTTAGATTTTCTTAAATTACAATAGATAAATTTAAGTAAAGTTTTTTTTTAAGATTGTTTTGAAAATATTATACATGTACACACCAAATTTGAGAAATGGCCACAAGCCCACCCCCCAAATGTTCACAAATTGTTGTGGTATAGCTTTACTCTTTTTTCTCTGCACGATTTCATTTATGAATAATATATTTTTATCATGTATCTTAGTAGACATAGATAATTTTTATATATGTCATGAAAAAAAAAATTGAATAGGCTTATCGATAACTTGTAAATATTATGGATATATTGATCAATAAACCCAAAAATCTAATTAAAAACATGAAGTCGAAAAGGGCCATGGATTCGATCTGCTGAACGTGTTAGTGAGCAGGTGTATGTGTATACAATGAACACAAAAATCATGAAATTCTAGAAAGCAAAACAGGCAAGTACAGAACTCATGAATCAAATTCCTCGCTTGCAAATGGCAATAGTAATGCAGCCACATCCTTGTTGTTGCCAAATGTCTAGCCTTCTCGGAGGCTAAAATTATCCCAGAGTTGGCTTCTTTCTTTTAAGAAAAGCTTCCTCCACACTTTTGCTGAGGAGGTGCATAATCTAAACCGTTTAGTTTAAATTTAGATGACCTAAATTTAATGTTTTTTATTTTTAAATTTTACATTTTTAAAATAAAAATATATAAATGATAAATTTTTTTAATAAATCTCTTTACTCATTTCGACAGTTTAAATTTAACATGAATAATATACATTTAATATTAAATTTTTTTATAAATTAATGATCCAAATATATTATAGACAATGCAGGTTTAATATTAACTTTTTTATAAAATTTATAAATTTTTAATATTAAATGTGAATAATTTATATTAAATCTAAACTGTTTAAAGGATGAACAAATTTATTATTTTTTTTTAATAATTGGGAAGCCACTCCAATGACCGGGCGTGGGGTGTTTTCATTTTTCTTCTCTCCATTTCCTTAAAATTGTGTCTTTTTGCTTGTTAAAAAAAAGAAAAGAAAGCACCCTCATCAGCCCGGCTTCTCTTCTCCTACCCTCCCCTGCATACAGTTCAGATCAAATGTTTTTATTTTTATTTTATCAGTACTAATATAAAAAAATATAATTTTTTTATTAAATTTAATCATCAATTTGGACAGCCCAGATTTAATATGGATAGTTTAAATTTAATATTTAAAATATTTATAATTTTAATATTAAACCTGTATTGTCCAAATATATTTGGATAGTCAATTTATAAAAAATAAAAAAATTATTAAATGTAATCATCGATGTGAAAAATTCATATTTAATTTGAGTTGTCCAAATTTAATAATAAAATTTTTTATAATTTTAATATTAAATCTGCAATGTCCAGAATATATCTAGATGGTTAATTTATAAAAATTATAAAAAAATTAATATTAAATTTGAATTGTCTATATTAAATTTAGACTGTTAAATTAATAATAAGCATATTATTAAATTCTTTATACTTTTTAAATAAACATAAAAAATAAATATTTTAAACTGTGCAAGGCATGGGAGGGGAAATATCAAATAAGATGAGGATAGCTTCTTTTCAGTTGTTTTCTATTTTTTCTGTATTTTTTTAACAAGCAAAACGACATAGTTTTAAAGAAATGGAGAGGAGGGAAATGGAGACACCTCATGCCCCCAACCATCGCAAGCTCAACTTCTATAAAAGTCAAAGAGTCAAGGGATGGAATTCAATCTCAGCAGATTTGATAAAAGCCCGAATCTTGAGTTCCATCATCATTTATGCTTATCAAGTGACAAACCCAGTACGTGCAAGAACTTACCTTGTCCGTGTTTTTCTTGCTTTATTTTTTTTAATTAGAAAGATACACGGTAGAGCTGGTAACGAGCTCAACCTATAAATCTGTCAAAAAAGTATCTGCATGGGTTAGCCAAAATGAGTTTAATTAAATGCAAGGTAATTTTAACCTACTTTGTATAGTTTAAATTGACAACATGTTAACTCGTGAATTGACTCGCTTATATTTTTTTAAAAAAGTAAACAAATAAAATTGAATTTTAAGTAAGACATTCAAAGCAAGCATGTTTGAAATTACAGTCTAACAACTTAAAACTTTTACATTCATTTAATTCAAACTTAAATTATGCCAAAAAATAATAAAAATACAATGCTTATATGTTTAAGTGGTAATATAATATAATTTGAATGTGATCAAGACAAGACTGAGTAAAATATTTTATTATACTCTACTTCCTTCATATAATAACTTATTTAAATTATATTGTTCGCAAAATAGTGCCACCCAAACTAGTAAATAAAAAAGTGTAGTTACGTAAAAAAAATTAAACATATTTATGAAAAGTTAGGTATATATTATATTATCATCTTAATTTGAATATAAAAGGAAAAAAATATATACAGAGATCAAAATATTTAGATGGTATAAATTAAATGTATTATGAGTAGTAATCTAATGATCAGAGTTTAAACCATCATAATTTAAAAAAAAGAATTGATATTTTAAACTAGGACATCAATTTTGTAGCAAAAATGCCAAAACAAGATGAAGAGAAAAGGAGATAAATAAAAGTATTTCTATTAATTCATATATATATATATATAATACTGATCAATCATGTAAAATATTAGATAAAGAAAGGATCACAACATTAAATTACTTTATATTTACGTGTTGATATGAGCATGGATTAGAAAGAATTTTATTGTTATTTGAATAATTAGTTTTTAGGAAGAATATATGATATTTTTTTATTGTGTGAAATACCCCAAGTTATATTAAACTTTTCAAAAAAATATAATGTAGTCAAGTACACCTTAAATCATAAAAATCCTTAAAGAGCAAGCTTAAGTAACCAAAGATTATAAATCATTTTCATAAGTTAAAAACAATATTAGTTTTGAAAAGTTCAAGGTTTAAAATGTTTATAATTTTTTAATTTTATAGAAAAATATGGAATGGAATGAAATTGAACTAACCAAGCAAGCAACAGCTCTAAATTCTAAGTTCAATTCATTTAATTTTTGTAACTTACTTGACATTAAGTAAAATACCTAATTATCATTAGACCCCTATGAAAATTATGTCAAATCATGACTTGGCTCTAAAATTAGACTTTACTTTGCCTTAACCATGTTCTAACACTCAAAATCAATCAAGAATTAAGCAATTAACTTTAATTTAAGACATAAATAGAAGCTAATTGATTCAAACATTGTCACGAGGATTGGACCTATTAGTATGTACACAACAATAACAATTGAAACATGAATTCAAACATATAGTGTACTTTATCTAATTTAAGAGTCAAATTATAATATCTAATCCTCTTAAAAAAACGAGATCAACTAGAAAACCCAACCTAAGAAGTGATCAAAATTTGAAAAAAAAAAAATCAAATCTCCAACCACTTTAAGAAGTTACTTTAAGTAGCTTCTAAAAATAATTAGATGCGATAGAAGAAAAAGTTAAAATAATTAAATAATAAATATTTTTATAAAATTAAAATCAATAAGAATATCATAAAATTTTAAAAATAACTAATTAATAATAAATTTTTTATAACAGTAACCAAACACAAAATAGCCTATTTTTTATAAGGTACCTACAAAATTAATTTCTTTTTATAAAATTTTTGAATAATCTAAAAATTGTTTATTTTTTTAATCTTATACAAATGGGTATATAATTTGACTCTCAACTTTTATCTACCATTCATAAAAGACAATTTTATATATTGAATTTTCGAGTAGGCAACAATTAAAGATATTAATTCTTAATACAGGTCATAAATCCACAAATGTTACTTTCAACACTGTGTGTGAGGAGATTTTTTACCGTCTAACTCGTGGATGGTAGTCGTCTATTCCATGAGGTCCTATACTTTTTTTTTAAATCTATCTTTCCTTATTTCGCAAATGCTTCCATTTTATTTTTGTGTTTAAAATTTATCTATCATGTTATCTCTGGCTTATTATATATTATATATTATTTATTGATCAATAAGTTATATCATTTGATTGTTTTACTCCCATGACTACTTAATATGTATTAATTAATTACTATTATTTAACATTTAAAAGAATCTGTAAGAACGGGAGATCAACTAGTAAATTTTAAAGCAGGGGAAATGAATGGAATTTTCTTAAAGGCGCAGGAAGCAGAGTGGGCCGGCCTCTGTAATTGTGGGGAGGTGCTTTTCTTAAGGGGAGCCTTCTCCGTGATTTCTATTACCGGAGATTCTGCTCCTTTTGTTTTCCTTGCAAGCTCCAATTCCCTTTTAACTCCTTTCTCCAATTTCATCTTCGATTTTCCCTCTGCCCTAACACCCCAGAAGGAAAATCTTAGATTCCTCCTCCCCTTTTAATAGACCCCCCCCCCTCTCTATACACCGGCGCTTTTCGAGATTCAATCCAATTCCTTCCTCTGGTAATCCCCCCTCCCCCCAAAAAAAATGTCAGTTTCATCGCATGCTGACAGATTCATTTTCCTCGGATCTTTCCTACGTCTTAATCTTCTTTCCCATGGCTACGAGGAAAAAAGATTCGATTCTTTTGGAACCCTTATTTGTTCTTCGCGTAGATCTTTCCGGTTCAAACTTTATTCATTGACGTTTTACATGGTTCCTCCTCGCAGGTTGGGAGATCTTCCATATTGTTTCCAGCGAAGACGACGGTCCGAGAAAATGGCGGAAGAACATCGATGCCAAGCTCCAAGCCTGTGCGCTAACAACTGCGGCTTCTTTGGCAGCCCGGCCACGCAAAACCTATGTTCCAAGTGCTATCGAGATTTGCAGCTCAACGAACAACAATCCTCCTCCGCCAAGTTGGTTCTCAACCAATCCCTTGCTCCCCCGTCTTCGACGACCTCGCAGTCGTCTTCTTTGCCGGAACAGATCGCTGGAACTTCGTCCTCTGCGGCATTTGATCCCCCGCGCGCGGTCGATGATGTCAAGAGTGGATCTTCGGCGCGGCCACCGGCTCAGCCGAGCCGATGCGTGACTTGCAGGCGGCGCGTGGGGCTCACGGGATTCAAGTGCAAGTGCGGATCAACATTCTGCGGATCCCACCGGTACCCCGAACAGCACAGATGTGAGTTCGACTTCAAGGGTATGGGTAGGGAGCAGATCGCGAAGGCGAATCCGGTGGTTAAGGCCGAAAAGCTTGAGAAGATCTGAGAAGTGGAAGGGGTGTTACGGTAACGTCGCGTGCGTGAGAAAGTTATCCGGATCCAACGCCCGGGTTGGTTTCCCGTCCGTCTGGTCGGTTTGCGTGTTACGGGTTAGGGTCAGTGAGCGTGGGTGGGTTCGTGATCCTCATCGTTATCATCATCATCGTGTAAATGAATTTAGTGAGCTTTTCTATCGTCAATCAATGTCTGTGTTTGGGAATTACTTCCATTTTCATTTGAATGTTGTGGCCACGTGGACTTAAAATGAAAGCAATGTCGCATTGGTAAGTGATGTTTTCACCAGAAAATAGAAATATTTGGGATGGAATATTATAAAAAAAAATGATCATAATTTTTTTTTAATATATATAAATAATAATTTAATTTTTTAAAATATTATAGTGTCTGTTTGACAAGTGTTTTAGAACTAATTTTTTGTACTTCATAGTTAAAAAAACTTTATTTGATAAATTTTTTTAAAAAAGTATTTTAAAAAATAAAATATTATTTTAGATAATAAATAATGACAACATGTTTTAAATTTTGATATTATTATTTTCAAAAAAAAAAAAATTAAAAATATATTTTTTATTATTTTTTAAAACATATTTTTACAAAACATCAGTTTTTAAAATAATAAAATAAAAATAATTTTAAACAAGTCAATAATTTATTAAAATTTTTAAAAAATTTTATATCAATAAATTTTAAATTAAAAAAATAATTTTATACTTATTGATAAGTTATGATTTTTATTTAATTATTATAATTTTTTAAATAAAAAATCGTTATTTTTAAATAAAGTTGTTATTGTAGTTTGTTATTTTAAAAATTTATTTTTTTAACAATAAAAATTATATTTAATAAGTATCATTATTTGTTCAACTCTTATAATTTATGAAACAAAAATTGTTATTATTTAAGTAAAAATTATGATTGATGCTTGTTTTTTAATAAAAAAATTACACTTGACAAGTTATAATTTTTTTTTCAATTCTTATAATTTATAAAATAAAAATTATTATTCCTTAAATAAGAACTTATGATCAGAGCTGTTATTTTTAATAAAAATAAAATAATTTTTTTATTTTAAAATTTATTAACATAAAAGTTTTTAAAAATTTCAGTAAAATTATAATATTTTAAAAAATTAAATTGTCATCTATATAATTGATGAATTTTATTATCATCTTTTCTAAACAAAAGCAAAATAGGGAAATTAAGGAATAGGCTCTTTTATTATTATTTTTTCTTTAATTAGATATTAAGGACAGTGGAATGACATTTCTTGCTAACAAACAATTAAATTGATCTTATTTAATAATAAAAAATTGGAAATCACAGGGTCCTTCAATAATTTGACCTGAATAGTGAATTTACTATATGCTTTTATAGTTAAATGATGAATCTCAGCAATAAATTGGTGAAATACTTTTTATAAAAATAAATTATTGAAAGTTATAATATATTTGACCAGGAGTTAAATTATTTTCTTTATAAATAGACAAATTTTCACTTGCAGGTTAATGATTAGAAAATAAGTCTAAAAAACAGTGTAATAACCTAATAGAAATCATAAAATAATATTTTTTTTATAAGCAGAAACCATGAAATAATATTTATTTTCTTTATAAATCGACTGATCTATCGAATTATTAGTCTTTGCAAAGATGCAAATTAAGAAACATGAATATCAAGTCATGGGAAGTCAGGTGTCTTTAACAAGTTAAATTTTTCCTTTTTTCTTTATAAATAGACAAAACTCATTTATAAATTAATAGATATGAAGTTGCAAACCAAGAATCTCACCACTCAAAAGACATTTGATCTTTATTTTAGTATCCTCAATTATTTCGGTAATACTGAATTAATTCAATTTTTTGATCTTCCATTGTCAGTTCCCCATTGCCGTAAGAATAAAACATCGTCTCGCACTATATGATGACCAAATACATCGTCTAATATTAATGAGTGCGTAATTTAATTGAACTTATTTTTATATTTAAAAAATTTATTTATTAATTGTATTTTGACTGAAATTAAACACTTTAAATTTTTTCACTGTGGAAAAAAATAAAAAAATTTAGAAGTAAAAAATTATGAATAATGCAACTTTTAGTCCTTTGTGTTTGTATAAATTGTAAATTTGGTCCATCACAATTAATTTTTATCAATTCAATCTTTTATATTTTATAAAAATATCAACGCCATCCTTGGTCTTTGAAGAAAGATTAAGACTGTTGAATTATGATAATATGACTAACGGAATTATAATATGACAATTATGTAAGTTAATAAAATGAGAAATAAGTTGCTGATATGGATAAAAATATTAAAAAAATTATGAAATTAATTGTCCAAACGTTTTCTTAGAAAAAAAAAAAAATCTTCAAACGAAACGCACCCTCCCACGTCAAGCGGTCTCTCACTTTTGTTATTTATTTATTTCATTTTCTTCTATTAAATTTCGTTCGTCTCTCTCGGTCCTCTCACTACTTCACAATCATGCTTCACTGTTTCATCATGTGATATGTTTGGATTAAAATGCCCTGATTGAAAAACCTAAGGGAATATTAGAAATTATAAATTACAAAGTAGCTTGAATATAAAAAAAATAAAAGGATTAAATTATTTTTTCTATGCTTTTATAACCAAATTATTAAATTTTATATCTAAAACATAACAGTTAATGTATTTAACTTTAAATTGTTTGGTCACAGATGTATTGAAAAAATCACTTCATGAGCACTTATGTATTTTAGATTATTGAATACTTTTCACTAATGACTTCTTGAATATTTTTTTCTTTTTGTTGAGGATTAAAAGTTGTGTTATCTTTGAAAAAATTAAATAATATTTGTATCTTTGGGAATGTTGACTACAAAATTGTGCAGGGACTGTTGGTGGTACTGGCGGTATAGACGTGAATCATGAGCTGTTTGAGTTGTGTCCGGAAGGACATTATCCTTAAGAACTATTCTGACACACTGGGATGACGAATTGACAGTTTTTCAAGATTTAACAAACACTTCTTGCACAATACAAAGGCACAGAACAACAGTACTAACAGAAGGAACTTAGACAAAGAGAAGTCGGAGGAGGAGGAGAATGCCTTGAAAGCTCAAGAGGCTAGTAAGCTATTCAGTCTGAATGCATGCCTATATATAAGCCAAATCTTGGACTCGAATGTTGGGCATTCAACCAACGGAGTAAAGGCTCGATTTACACAAATGTAAAACACATTTAAGCTCTTATCTGGAAACATTGAGGAGACAAATATGTTTAGGAAATTAATCTGGTTAATGGCCAAAAAACATTCATGGTTTGATTTCAAATTTCAAACAGCCAAAAACTGAGATTTTTTGATTATTTATTTATTCATTTTGTAAAAATAATCCGATAAAAGAACCCAATACTTCTTGAACTCATATAGGAAGGGTGAATCGGCTGATTTCAATCGCAACTGCCCTGAGTTGGCCTGTCCCATATGCATGAACCTACCTTTTTTCCAAACCCATTTTATTAGTCCACTTCATTCTTTTGTATTTATATACTAAAAGAGTTCTTTATTTAGACAATGTGAAACTTTTCACACACACACACTTTTGACACACACACAACAGGCACTTCCAATGATTAAAGGGAAAGGAGCATAACATATTTATAAAAGGAAAAGGGAGTATTTATTTTAGTTTTATTTATAAAAAAATTATATGATTATTGTGTCTATTAAATACTGTGAAGGTTATTAAATATTAAAATATTTTATTTTTAAAATAGGTATATTTAATCAGGTTGAAGTTGGAAACTTGCTGTTTTTTTCGGATAAAGTTAATTAAATTTAAAATTTTTATTGATTTCAATAAATTATATTAAAAATAATTTATAAATAGAATCATGTAAAGTAAATGGCAGGGAGTATGATAAACTAAAATTAGTTTGCGCAGTTAGGACTTTTATTAGTGAGTGGTTGTAAGTTCCGATTTGAATGTGGTAATTTAGTTAAGAAACGTCTACTTTTTATCTTCGATGAGAGATAATTTCACTCATTGGGTTGCTCGTACCATTTTGCTTTCCCAACTGACATGCTTTGACTGGGGTGAGTCCATTGCCTCCAAAGTCCAGATAATAACTAAGCTATGTTATTGTTAGTTATTTGCTAGTCATCATCTAAGCCTAGGAAACAGAAATAGGGGCAACCATCATTACTGCTCTCAAGAAATCAGATTCCTCAGACTCTTATATGTAATTATTGGCCAAAAAAGAAAAACCCCGGTTATTAATTTGGATTGTCACCTCGCATCTCACTAACGTAGGCAAAGCAAAAGTAGCAAGCTACTTTTAACAAAAGGGGTAAATTTATTTCCGCGTGCCTCTTCAAACAAGATTCTCAGCCTTAAACTCATCATCAGCTATCTTGTCAATAAAATTGAATATTCTCATTGAAAATATGAGGGAAGGGAGATAAAATGGGAATAACGTAAATGGAAAGCATTGATAGAGGCGAGAAGAATCCACATTTATGAACAATTAATTGAATATTCCCAGTAACCAGTGTCAGTTGCGCATGCTGAAGCTACCTCACGTAACGCAGAGATAAGCCTGACCATCCCCTTACTTTAATAAACACTAGTAATGAAACACGAATTTGCAAATGATATTTAGCATAATACTTACATCTTCTTCCTTCTACTTTGCCATGCCCAAGGTTGTCACAGACAAAGATGGATCCTTTGCTCTCACCTTTAACATCTCTGGCATTGAATTTTGGCCTTATTTGGCAACACCACCCACCAATTGTTTCATTGAACAGCCCTCACCCATGAAATGCTTGGTTTGTCCGCTCTTTTGCATTCCACCCATCATCCTCTTCCTCGCGATTCTCAAAAACAAGACCTTTTTTTCTCAAGGCTCAGTTTCGATTGAGCTTATAACAAGGAACTAGTTCTGAGAGCAGATTCATTATCCAACGAGACACTGATAAAATACGCTGCTATCGACATGGGAGAAGTACAATTAAACCAAGAAATCCAAAAGCTTCTTGATGTTGACTTCGGCAGTCAATCGCAGCCGTCCCCGTCTTTTCCTTGGCGATTCAATGCCCATGGTGTCGCCGACAATGACGAGAACTATAGACAGTGGTTAAAGTTTGGAACGGTTTTGTCCGATTGGGCTTGACACGTCTCATGAAGCATCCAATCGACAGTCGTAACGGTTATGCGGGGTCCGACCGCCAGTATTAATCGTGTGCGTGGTCGGGAATAGGGGGATTCTGCTGAACAGTGACTATGGCGAGCTGATTGATAGCCACCAAGTGGTTATACGGTTGAACAATGCGACGGTCGAGAGGTTTGAGAAAAAAGTAGGGACGAAGACTAACATTTCGTTTGTAAACAGCAACATTTTTCATCCATGTGCGAGAAACCGAGAATGCTTCTGTCATCCACATGGATCATGCGTTCAAATGTTTTTTGTACGTATGCCAACCTGCACATTGCGGGATTACACTGTGTGCAATTCATCTCACGAGGCGCCACCTGTGGTCACTGATCCAAGGTTCGATGTGCTCTGCTCGAATTGCGTGAAGTACTATTCTTTGAAACGTTTCACTGAGCAGACAGGGAAAAGGTTGGAGGAATGGAGCTCTGCTCATGATGCAGTTTTCTTTCATTACTCTACTGGTATGCAAGCTGTGATGATGGCTTTGGGAGTATGTGAGAGTGAGCATGTTTGGTTTTGGCAAGTCACCTTCGGCTAAACATCATTGTCACACCAACCAGAAGACCGGGCTTGATTTGCATGATTATGAAGCAGAATATACCTTTTACAGAGACCTGGTCCATGGACGGAGGCCTATATCATTTCATGCGCACAGCTTCAAGATTCTTCACCCAACCATGTATCAATGACATCTTATTATCACCGTCATTGCCGATTGAGTGGTGGTGGTGGTGGAAAATGTAAAATACTCCTTTTTCTCAGATATTGAAGGGTTTAAAAGGTTAAAGTGCTGAGTGTGAGACCTTAGCTACAGAAGACGTGAACTGAAAACTACTCGTAAATTTTGTCCAATACTGGAAAGCAACATGGATTGAAGATTTTTTCGGTGTCTGGATACTTCTCGTGTACTAATGAGAGCAGATTCGAGAAATATCGAGTGTAAATTCTGAATAGGTTGACAAACATCTTGACTCTCTTTTGTTCAGCCGTTTGTTTCAATCATGCTGGAGCATGCAACTAAACCATAAACCATAATAACATTGTCTAGGATTATCTATTGGAACCCTTGCTGAGATGCAAGAGCAGCACAAAACATTTACTTACACAAGTTAGTGACCGTTGACCTACATATACCTCAAACAGGGAAACGGCAAACATTCCACCACTATACTGCTATACTATCACAACATATTATACACACACATCAAAATAGCACCACCTTGATCCCTTACTACCAACAAGAGTTGTCATTAAAACCCCTTCAGAAAAGGTCTTGGGCTACCTTCTGTCCCTTTCTCACTCTGCCCTGTCCATCACCATGCCTCTCTCTTCATATTTCACTCCTACCAAGTAGCTTATGCGCACCTGCGAAGAATAAGAGCCATCTCAGAAATAGAAATTCCAACCGCAAAGAAAAACCACTCCGGTGAAATTCACCAATCAAGGGAAGTTCATTTCTTTTTGAGGTAGAGATTGTGTTTGGCTCATTGTTGAGTGGTTTGTACCTGCTTAGGATTATAGACAGCGTACTCATTGTACTCCAAAGGGCTATCTTTGTTCTCTGAGGCAACTAATCGACCTGAGGGAACCTTAATGTCATCTTTCCAAACAAAATGTTCTGATTCATCTGTTTTCTTCCTCCCCAACCCCTTAACCCCAACTTTCTTTTCTTCCAAAGTTTTCGTTTCCTGTCTCAATAAACAAAATAACTGAGTGGAATACAATTATAATAGAATCAGGAAATGGCCGTGGTAACAAAGTTGTTACCTCAGGTGGGTTTTTCAGCTCTGTAATCTCATTTCCTAGGGAAGCAATTGCCAGAAACAAGAAGCCTTCTGGTCTGTCCACAGCCGTAAACCCATATCTTGCAGCCTCGGCAGCAGCATCAGAACAAACTATAGCTTTCCCAAACTGTCGAGAGAGAGAGAGAGAGAGAGAGAGAGAGAGAGAGGATAGGCCATGCCATTAGGAAATGCGCATACGTTGGACAGTATATTGTAGTTGAATGAGTTTGAGTACCATATAGCCCGGACTGGTAGAGAGCATATTGCTGGCAAGAAACCCTTGTGCAAGTGCCTCAAAAGATTTGAGCTTCGTGAACCTGACATTATAGAAACAAAATTTGTATATTTCATTCAAAAGGAACCAACATGAAATCACATAGGATTAATCGTGTCTTACCACACCAAAGGAGGACTTTATTAGGCAACTTTACAATGTCTTCATAGGGAGGGCAAGCCCTGGATTCTACCGCAAAGATGTTCCCTACAGACACCCCATAATCCTAAATGCATACAGAAGTTAACAACCCAGAAATAAGCATATCCATATACAACGTGATATAAGGAAGGTTCTTAATCTTACAACGTCCCCAACTCGTACAGGTTCGTAAGTTTTCTCCAGGTATTTCACTATCATGTCATAATCACTAGAGTTTTTCTCCAATGGAGAAATAGAGCAACCCAATTTCTTGTATCTGTCCGATAATGGATCGTCAATGGTAGAGCCACTCGTATCTCCTATGAGGTGAGAAGCCACGTTTATGTCTCGTATACTCTCTAATGCAGAAGCAGCCTGGGAAGATTAAGACAAAATGGAATTGAATATTCAAGATAAGTGGTTGAATTGTGAAGGTGAATGCTTAGTTTGGCCTTACATGATTTGCAATGTCCTGATAATCTCTAAAATTAAAAGGTCTTGTGGAATGCATCAGAGTGAACCACCTTTGGCTAAAATCCGACCAAAGAACCTCAGCTTTTGGCCCTCCATCTTTCATTGATTTCACCTTCTCTATGAATTCTAGCAGAACCTCCTCACCTGATCGAATTCAATCATCAATCATTCCGAACAAGGCATTCTTATTGACATAAAAGAACGAAAAGTAATGGGGATTAACTCAATTAGTAAAAAAATATTTCTTCTAAACAACTGCGTCCTAGTTCTATGAAGAGAAATTCAGACTTCGATTCCTAAATGCCGCAGGCTAATGTGAGGAAATGTGCCCTTAAGATTGCTCAAGGGATAACCTAGACAAGGATAAGTTGATAGTAATTCCAAAAACTAGAAAAAGGAAATGAAATGGTTGATGCTCACATCTTTTCAGGTGAAGATCTGTAACCATCCCCATGGAAGGTCAGGGGAGTCATAAGCCATCTCCATCAATGCATACCTATATCCGATGAAGGTCATTTCAGATCCCTTTTCAAATTGAAGTCACAAAAGTGTTGAGAAATGTTCCGTACCTATATATCTCCTGGCTGCACAAAACTTTCATCAAATTTGCAACCAAAGGCTCAAGTTTACAGTGTATTGCTGCTATCCCTAGCTGCCGAACAGCTAGGGCTCCATGTCTAACTTCAACCCATCATCCTATGCAGTGACACGAAACTGTTTATCATCTGAAAGTACAGGATTAGATTCAGTCATTTGTGAAATAGAATCATTAAGTACCATGTCGATAGGATAAAACTTGAGTGGTTTCTTCCGAAATTTCTTCTCTTTTTCCCAAGGTTCAAACTCATTCCCCGTTATCTCCTCAAAAAACCTCACAAACTCTTTCACTGCATTGTCCACGTTCTGAAACTCTTGTAGTCGCTCCACTGCGTTTGGATCATCTCCCACTCTCCCTTTCTTGTAGTATAAATGCAAACGATTCTCTGGCACCATTATCAGTTGCATGACACAGAAGCTGCTCCAAGCGGACATTACTAATAAGCTGGTTGTTCCGTAAGTCAAATTAAGTGGAAATAGAAAAACTGAATAAATGGAAATGGCTTTGATATATATTTACTCATTCAATCCTCGTCCCTGATCACAAAGGGAGAAGGCACAGTTGTATAATATCCCATCTTTTTCAAATATCTTTCCACCTTGGTCCTGCAGTTTGGTATCTTTATAGACCCCTCTTTTCCCATAAAGCTTAAGCTGCAATGACATCGAATTTTGTTACACAAAATGATGGAAACTTCAAGTGTTTTTCTTTTGCATTGTAGTAAACAATAGTCAGTAGGAAAGATGGTCTTGTGTACTTCTGCAGAAAGAGATTCAATGGACTCCTCTCCGGGATCTTGTTTATCCCATGGTATCCCTTTGCCGTCTACAGAGAGATCAGAGACAAGATCATAAGCTTCCAAAGGTTGAGGCTCTTGTTTCTCTATGCTGTCATTTAACCAAGCCTCCCTCACCACAGGTATTCCTCTCTCCCTGCAAGAAAAATACTTGAATCCAGTAAGATGTGTCTTGTGTTTCTTCAAATTTTTTTTTTTTTATAAATCTGATCACTTTCTGTTTCTCTGCATCAATCAGGTGTGTGGGTGTTAATCATAGCATACAAACGTTAAAAGACAAAAACACAAATGATCCTGTGCCAGTTCCCTCTAATGTTGCATCACTTCAATATTAGAAACTCTAACGTTGTTTCAATTTTCTGGTTGTATCTCAAATAAGGCTAAAACAGCAACTTGCAGTACCATGTGTAAGACACGGAGCCAAATAAAATAGAAACACTCACATGGCTTCTGCAACTTTGGAAGTTCCACCACGCACTCGCTCAGCAGGCGAAGCCACCAAACAAGTTGCCCCTGATCATTAGTTAATAAACCAATCTGGTTAACAAAAACAGTTGGACCAGAACTACAAATAGGGTTCGGATAAAAGAACATTACCATTTACAGAGTTTGCTACCTTCCCTCCGTGCTTTTCAATAGTTGTTTTCCAATTTTGCTATATAAGCCAAAACAAAATCCAATCGCTAACAGAAAGCAGTAGAAGATGAAAACTAAGTTAAAAGAAAAATGAAGGGCAAAGATTACATGTGTCCGAGTGAGACGACCCATAAGACAAATCATCATCCCAGTGAAAGTCTTCTCTTCTGAGCCTAAATCCCTGTGAGGTCTTCGAATTGGATCTTGATATTTCTTCAAGAACTGCAAACGAACGATAGTGACTGATCAAGACAGATTTTTGAGTGAAAACAATCGGATCTACATAAGGACCACATAGAATAATGAATCACATCTGAAATAGGAGAATTCTGCACAGAATCAGATAGTTTAATGGCTTCCTCTTTTCTGGGAGGGTCTTTTGTCCTGAAGGTGCAACTAGACCACTCGCTGTAAAATCCTCTGCAAGAATAACGTCTCCCATCGAACTCCAGAGTTCCATTGCAAACCGGACATTTTTCTAATGCACCATAAAACATCACGTCTTGGCTGCTCATGTATAAAAATTAAAGTTACTCACTCCAATAATGTAAGGATCTACTGAAGCATTCATTTTGAGGACATCTATATCTTGTCCATGAAAGTTACATATAACTATAACCCCAAATCCTACCTTGGAGCTCTGCATTATTTATATTTATGACTAAAGTAACGAGTAGGACTATAGGAGCGAGATTGTAGAAAGGGAAGAAGGAAAAAAAAGTGTTTTCGCCGTTCACAGTGGAAAGCCATAAGCCATAAGTAAATGGTCTAACCATCTTCGAGTAATTTCAAGATCAGAGCCAGAAGAATCGAGACCGTTAGCTTCAAGAACTTGTCGCATTTGCTCAACAGAAAGGTGTTTATTAATGGCTTTGCAAAACTCATCGTATTCGGCTGCAACATCGGCGATGGATTTGCCATTGGTGTAGCTGTCTTCTCCACTTTCTTCATGCTTGGGCTTCTTAGGAGAATGCTCTGCTTCGTGTAACTTGGACTCTGCCTTCTGCTTTCTCGTCATCACCTTCTCTTCATCCCCGTGTGCATGCAGGTGTGCTTGCGACCTCGCTTCGTGAACCTTCATATCCCCAAATCACTTTAAACGTACGTGAAACAAGAGAAACGTACTAGAAACATTAAAACTTCCAACAGGTCAAGTTACAAGCACCCTTTGCGATTGCCCTTGCCATGAAACTTCAACAGAAGATATATATATATATATATATATATTATATCTATCTTATATCAATATATAAAAACCTCCTTTTCTTTTCCTTTTTAATTTTGTGGGCTTCTCTTTCACAAGTTTGTGTCAAAAACCAGAGCATGTGAATTAATTAGAATGTTGAAAAAGAAAGACTTGACGATTTTGGCGACGAAGAATAGAAAGAAGCAGAGGAAACGAAGTGTACCTCCATGTTCGAGCTCATTTGAAAGTGAAGGAGCAACCTAAAGTGTGGAAAAACAAGGGAAATCTGGGAATAGAGCAGAAGTTTAAGATTTAGGAGCAAGACAAGGCGTGCACTAAATAAGCAATGCGAAGCTAGTTGACGAAGTCACATGATGATAAGCTCGAGGCGCGGGGAGTACAACCCCGAACTGCCACGTACAAGGAGGTTTCCCAAGAAACATGTCGTCCTGCCGTTGCGACAACATGCCACGTTTCCTAAGACGTGGGAGGCAGTGACACGTGGCAAAGTGGGTATATTTCGCGGCCTACAGTGTTGACAGGTGGGGGAATGGGGGTGTGGGGAGTGGGGGGCATATATGTCAATCGGCTGCAGTGGGGAACGGTGTTTCGTAATAGGCAAAGATGGCGACGTTGGGCACTGTGTGCTGAGAAGAAAACAGCTTAGATGTGCGGCATTTTATGCCTGGTAGCGGCTTCTCAAAATGTAGCAGATTCAGCTCATATTAACTAAAATATTTAATAAATTAGAGCAGCTTTCGGTGTGAGTTCGAGAGACAGCTGTGGAAAGTGGATACGAATGAGTGCTTGGATAACAAAAGACATCACCAACGTTCAAGTCCACAAAAGTGGCAAACATCAACTGGAACCTTGTGTATAGAAGTTTTCAATTCAATTTAAAAATAAAAAAGACTTGAAAATGTTTTTCTAAAGGAAAAAAAAAAAGAAAAATTACGTGAATTGGCCGATTAGAATTTAGTCTAACTTGTAACCCACAACTTGTGTTCTTAGTTCTAGCTGGATACTCACGTGTAATTAAAAAAAAAAATTGCGTTTAGGATGTAGTGATGGTATGACTTCACTAAAATTATGGGATATCATTCCTTCGGTATATGTTGAGGCTTGGAAGCCCCTCCGACTTAAAGGTGGGAAGTCATGGTTTCAATTACACTCAATTACACTACTTCGAGCTGTCGTGGTATACCTTGGTACATATTTTAGATTGAATTTTCAGAATATTAACGAAGCAATTAAGAAAAAATCTAAAAATAATTCAGATAATCCCAATGGTGGCATATATAGTTAATTTACCTATTAGTGAACAAAATTGAGAAATTGTCATGACAATCTCTAAAATTCTCTTCAATTATATCAATCATTTCGTTAAAATGGTCGACATCATATGTCTTCCTATGATGATCAAATGCTTGATAGCTTGCATTATCCTTCCAATCACTTGTGTTGCTCCTTGTCTCTCCATGTATGATCCAACAAGTACAAGTTGGATCAATCCCATCACATATTAAATGATCTTTCAATTTTATTGATCTCACTTTTTTTTCATAGCAACATTTTAAATAAAGGCATATAACTCTAAGAGGATCTTGATCACGACAAAATACAAATTTAATGAACTCATCCACACTATCCTAATATTCTCTAGATAGCTAATTAACCGACATCATTTATGATTCATGTAACTAATATAGTCGTAAAAATTCAAAAAAGAAAGACTTATAATTCAAAAAAATAGCAAAATCCCCACTAAAAGTGAAATAACCTAAATAATCAAATTCAATAATACAACATACCAATTCATCTAAATAAAATTTTTGAAGCATAATGTAACTAAAATCTATCAAGTAATATTGTAATTTATCTTTAGTTTATTTATTAGCTTAATAAAATTATAGTTTCAAAAAAAGAATTTCAATATAAGCATATTAAAACATTTAACAAATACCAAAGAAACAATTAATCAAGAGTTTCCTTTTAAATTTCAACTTCATATTCTTCAATAATAACTACATTCAATTTCAAAATCAACTAAAACTAAAATGAGAGTAATCTAATGTCATGCAAAATTAACCAAGATGACTAATTACTATTATCACACTTAGCTTTGATTGTTATTATCACATCAATATTTTGATTGTTTTATGTGATTCAAAATTAGTCTCGGCTAAGTGTACAAGTGTGTTTTCTTTGATCTGCAAATGCCAAACACAAAAATTTCAAAGATAAAGATCTAACATGAGACTAAATTCACAAAAAAATTAACTATCAACATAGTTTATCTATATATTATTAATCCCAAATTATTCACATAATATATATAATTATTTGTTTAAAAAAAAAAAACTAGAGTGCAATGTGCAACGGCCATGAAGGAAGATAAGGTGTGGGGTGACGTGTGGCAGCAAATTATGGGGGCAACATGTGGAGTCGAGATTATTAGGCGATTTCCTCAAGAACTACGACAATAGCTTTGATTTCCTGACAAATCGACTGCTGTTCTTCATAGGCAAAGCGCAATTGCACAGCAGCACCTGTGCCATTTGACAAATTGGCGAGCTTCAGGTGATGGTGGCAACGTCTTTGCAGACTGAGAGATAATAGGAGAAGAAAGAAGAAATAGCTCGCGAAAGCTAATAACAAGAGTGTAAAATCTGCTTACATAAACACAATTAACCACCAAATTTAAGGTAATCAATAATATAATTCAATAAAGATTACTAAGTTTGTCAAATTATACAAATAAAATTCCTAAGTTTTTATAATGTAAAATACTCCCATAAATCATCAAACATGCACGAATCAAAGTTAAAATGTGTGCAAAAACATAGGATTCCAAAAACAAGTAAAAGCATTTACAAAAAAAAAAAGAAATTAATTTTGTGCCAAAATGACACATGCGCTGCGGTTTAACACTCCTATGCCACAATTTGTTGCTCTATGTCATGCACCGCAGTGCATTGTACGAATCTAACAGCATTTTATTGTCAAATGACAGCACCAAGGATGAACTTTGATGCATTTCAAATCCTTTTTCGACATTTGATTAAGGTAATTTAGATGTTTTTACAAAAAACTTTCTTCTAACTTTAGCTAATGGCACAAGTTTCACAATCAAATTATTTTTCTACAAAAAGTTGAACACCTAAAACAAATCTCACTCCTTTTTCATATTAACTTGCATCTAGGGTATCCAAAATCTAACACATGTACTACAAGCCTACACCAACTCTTAAACCACACTCAATGAATCAATTTGGAATTATGCAATACACAACAGCTAATCAAATACACATTTTACACAAATTCACCACTCAATCCCTTGATTTATAAAAATAAGAAGGGGGAGATAATTTACATAAAATCATTAACATCCAATTAAACACAACTCAATTGCACTTTACTCTATTTGCACTAATATTGGGCCTTATAAAAGCTTTACAACCATATATTATTAGCTTAGGGCACGGAATACATAAAATATTCTCAATCATAATGCAAGTAGACAAAATAATGGAATGAAATCCTAGTTGAAAAATTAACTATCAAAATACATATATAAGTAAATCTAGAGGTCTACCAGTACAATTTTCACTCAATCTTAGGCCTCTAGTCATTTTCCTAACCTTGGTAAGATGAACTAAACCCTGAAAATATTAAATGATAAAGGGTGAGTACAACCACTCAATAATCAAGATCAACATAGCTTATATAGTTGCATATCAATTAAAAATAGATGTAAATGGCAATAATTTCTAATATCAAACACATATAGTAAATATAGCCTCAGCCATGACAATAACAACTATGTGACTAGGCATGCAATCATTAAATATATCATAATTATACATATCTTAATGTCACCAAAATAACAACCTTGCACCCCTTAAATACATTGGACCACAATAATAACAACCATTTAGTCGGAACTAAATGTATGATCAATGCTAGCTTTATACCCTCCTGTTACTTTTCAACATGAAACTGATGGCTTTTAGTGGCTATGTTCGTAACTCAGACTAACTTAGCCTTCTACTTGTGAAGAGTTATTAGATTAGGGTTAACTTTTTCACTTATGTACCATGGTTTCCCCCAATACAAACAACTATAGGATGTTATACCCCTAATATAACCTCCTCATAAATCATTAGAGACTAGTTAGGTTTGGGTCCTTAAAGAATAAGTAGGATAGTCCCTGAATCAACTATAGAATAATGGCTACCTCTTGATTCCAACAATTATTACTAAGGCAAGCTTCTAATTCCAACGGTAAGCCGCTACTATCACGTGGATTTATCAGTTTACTCCTCTTCCTAAGTAAACTCCTACAAATGATTACACTATGCATATATTACACATATTATGCAATTCAACCAACAAGCATATCATATCTCATCCATAACATATTTTTTCACAATATAACACATACCAAATATCACATTCATCATTCTTCATATGCTAAACATCACGCATATGGGAAAATATGCACATTATTCTTTAAATTCAACACAAATTCACACATTGTCAAATTTGCATTAAATGGTTCTCAAGTGCCCATATAATTTTCAAATAATTTCATTCATCTAATAAGTAATTGACATATAACTATACAAACAAGGTTTCCCCCTGATTACCTCAAACCTTTGAGAGGTCAAAAGTTTATCCCTTAAAATACCAACTTTCAAAACTTCTTCTTAAGCTTGAATAATGCCAATTGGGTTAATCTATAATCATATCACAAGGATAACATTATTATCCCATTTTTGGGCAATTTCTAACATCATAACTTCACATACTCTCTTTTGTAAAAGTCATAAACTCACTCTCAATCATATTTAATGAGTTTACTAAATCCCAACAACTCACATTATCATTAATGAACTATTAAGCTACCATTAATGGTCACCAAACACTTTCAACTCCCTAATAATGTAAATTTTTTGTCATTAATGGCCCTCAACAACCAACTCTCAATCATTGATGTGGGTTTAAATACTCTAAATAGCCATCATTACATCTATTTTTGCTAATGGGTTCAGATCCATGGCTTATTGGGATTGAAAATCACTCTTCTAACTCAAACTCTAACTTAACTCCTCATAAAAATAGAAGGAAAAGAGAAGAGGAAGATATAATGTACTTCCCTTGTGAGTTAGGAAGCTCTAAAATGTGTCCAATGGTTCCTAAGTTTGTGCCTTAGTAGAGCAACGGATGTGCTCTCGTTTTCTCTTTTTCCTCCTGTCTAGTTTTCCTAATGAAGCACAATTGATTTAAGTAAAATTTTAGCTGTGCACCGCGGCACACATAACTCATGATGT